TAAGGTAACAAAATGTGGAAAATGTCAAGGGGTTTGAATACTTTCTGAAGGTACTGAAGATGGAGCCATCTAGGATCTAGTGTCAGATGTGTCAGCTCCAGTTGCAGACCCCACTTGCTGTACTCTGGGACACAGGCAGCCACTGACTTCTACACGGATGCCATTTTGGCTTTGTTACTACTGAGCCAGATGGAGTGACATTGTCTGTTGTTCACTGGCATGCAAACATGCACACAGCAGCCCAGTTCACATAGCCTACTCTCTGATGGTTAAAATGTTTTACTGTGGAGCTGCTCGGCTCTGGCGTCTCCCTCAGTTGGTTTTCCCTTTGAGGGAACGGACTAGAGAAACAGCCCAGCTAGCACATAACGTTCTGAGAACCATATATTTCTTAGATCTTGGTGAGAGCGTGGTTGTCCTATGGTTATTTTGCATACAACCTTCCCACAACTTTCTGGGAATGGTGCAGGATAGTTGCTTGGCTTTGGAACATTCTCAGCACATTTAAGGAACTTGACAAAAAAAACTAGATTTTCTTGGTATTTCATTACTTTAACAGAACAGTTCATAAAAGTTTAAACATGGTTACATTTAATTTTTACTTTGGTAATGTTCTAGGAACGTTCTCCAACTGGTTTCAAATTGGGAATGTTCTCAAATAGTTCAGAGAACATTAAGAGACAATGTTCTTCTGTGGGATTTTCAGTACTTCAGCATTACGTTTCCTACAGGTTTCCTCATGGTTCTATTTAAAGTCATGTTCTCAAATTGTTCCAAGAATGTTAAAAAACAGCGTTCTTCTGTGGGAATTTCAGTACTTCAGCATAACGTTTACCACAGGTTTCCTCATGGTTCTATTTAAAGTTCTCAAATTGTTCCAAGAATGTTAAGAAACAACGTTCTTCTGTGGGAATTTCAGTACTTCAGCATAACGTTTACCACAGGTTTCCTCATGGTTCTATTTAAAGTCATGTTCTCAAATTGTTCCAAGAATGTTAAGAAACAACATTCTTCTGTGGGAATTTCAGTACTTCAGCATAACATTTCTTACCGGTTTCCTCATGGTTCTATTTAAAGTCATGTTCTCAAATTGTTCCGAGAACGTTAAGAAAACGTTCCATAAAAACCACAAGAAAACTTGAGTAACATTCAGAGAACGTTCCAAGAATGTTATTTAAAAACATACATCCCGTTCTCAGAACGTGAAGAATACTTTCCATAAAACACAAGAAAACTTCAGCAATGTTCAGAGAATGTTCTAAGAACGTTATTTTAAAACATATACACTACCGTTCAAAAGTTTGGGACATACATGAAATGAGTTTGAATAGGAAATATAGCAAAATGAATAGGAAATGTAGTCATTGACAAGGTTAGAAATAATGATTTTTAATTGAAATAATAATTGTGTACTTCAAACTTAGCTTTCGTCAAAGAATCCTCCATTTGTAGCAATTACAGCCTTGCAGACCTTTGGCATTCTAGTTGTCAATTTGTTGAGGTAATCTGAAGAGATTTCACCCCATGCTTCCTGAAGCACCTCCCACAAGTTGGATTGGCTTGATGGGCACTTCTTACGTACCATACGGTCAAGCTGCTCCCACAACAGCTCAATAGGGTTTAGATCTGGTGACTGTGCTGGCAACTCCATTTTAGACAGAATACCAGCTGACTGCTTCTTCCCTAAATAGTTATTGCATAGTTTGGAGCTGTGCTTTGGGTCATTGTCCTGTTGTAGGAGGAAATTGGTTCCAATCAAGCGCCGTCCACAGGGTATGGCATGGCTTGCAAAATGGAGTGATAGCCTTTCTTCTTCAAGATCCCTTTTACCCTGTACAAATCTCCCACTTTACCACCACCAAAGCACCCCCAGACCATCACATTGCCTCCACCATGCTTGACAGATGGCATCAAGCACTTCTCCAGCATCTTTTCATTTGGTTTGTGTCTCCCAAATTTTCTTCTTTGTGATCTGAACACCTCAAACTTCGATTTGTCTGTCCATAACACTTTTTTCCAATCTTCCTCTGTCCAGTGTCTGCGTTCTTTCGCCCATCTTAATCTTTTATTTGTATTAGCCAGTCTGAGATATGGCTTTTTCTTTGCAACTCTGCCTAAAGGTCAGCATCCTGGAGTCGCCTCTTCACTGTTGACGTTGAGACGGGTGTTTTGCAGGTACTATTTAATGAAGCTGCCAGTTGAGGACCTGTGAGGCGTCTGTTTCTCAAACTAGACACTCAAATGTATTTGTCCTCTTGCTCTGTTGTGCACCAGGGCCTCCCACTCCTCTTTCTATTCTGGTTAGAGCCAGTTTGCGCTGTTCTGTGAAGGGAGTAGTACACAGCGTTGTACGAGATTTTCAGTTTCTTGGCAATTTCTCGCATGGAATAGCCTTCATTTCTCAGAACAAGAATAGACTGACGAGTTTCAGAAGAAAGGTCTTTGTTTCTGGCCATTTTGAGCCTGTAATCGAACCCACAATTGCAGATGCTCCAGATACTCAACTAGTCTCAAGAAGGCCAGTTTTATTGCTTCTTTAATCAGCACAACAGTTTTCAGCTGTGTTAACATGATTGCAAAAGGGTTTTCTAATGATCAATTAGCCTTTTAAAATGATAAACTTGGATTAGCAAACACAACGTGCCATTGGAGCACAGGACTGATGGTTGCTTATAATGGGCCAATGTACGCCTATGTAGATATTCCATTAAAAATCAGCCGTTCCCAGCTAAAATAACCATTTACAACATTAATAATGGCTACACTGTATTTCTGATCAATTTGATGTTATTTTGATGGACCATTTTCTTTTGCTTTTCTTCCGAAAACAAGGACACTTCTAAGTGACCCCAAACTTTTGAACGTTAGTGTACATTCCATTCTGAGCATCTACAAAACTCTCTCTAGCCTCTATCTTGGTGTGTTCAGGTGTGTTGGCTGCGCCCACTAGTTGGCCACAACTGATCTTAATGAGTGCTTGTTTCCTTTGAAATGGGGTCTGTTTGAAAATACTAAAATGAACAGCTTTGTATGATGGCATGCTAGCTCCATCCTGGTGACGCAGTGGACTCATTCTCACTGATGCTGTTTCACAATAAAAAAGAAATGCGTTTGCATGATTAATGCCTAAGGAAATGAATTTCCATGTGTTCTAGCTGTGCTTGGAGTTAAAAAAAAGTAAATCCAAAATAAGCTACATTCAATTTAAGTTTTATGGAAGTTATTCTAAAACCTCCAAATAACCTATAATTTTCATTCTCAGAGAGTTGATACAACCTCACAGGAAAACTTTCAAGGAACCAGAGTAAAACATTCTCAGAACTTCCTTGCAACCTAAAAATAAACATTCCAAGAACAGGCAAAATGTTCACTTCTGTTCTCAGAACGTTTAAAAAACATTTAGTTTTAACGTTCAGGAAACGTATGGCTTTGTTCCCACAACCAATGTGAAAACAAAAACATACGTTCCCACAACTTCCAGGGAACCAAATGTGCTAGCTGGGAGAGATGTGGCACGTGAGGATGCTATGATGATATGTAGCGCATTGCTTTTTATGTCTTGGAAAATCACACCCATTGCATATGCATAGATAAATGAGGGTGAACTGTTGGCATGTTATTAAATGTTAATTCAAATGTGCAGTGCTTGTATTAGCTCAGTAGCAATAATGTGTTTACATGAACTCACAGTACTATGCAAATTGCAGCAAAATGTGAAACAGCGTTCAAATTAACAACATGGCCAAAGTAAACGAAGTCTCGACAGCCAAACACACACAGTAGTTCGGCTAATCAGATTGCATCCGCGGCCTCATTTGCTTCAACTCTAAACAGTTTCTGAACCTCCCTCTGAGCCACAATGTCTTCAGAGCTACATTCTCAACAGGGGGTGGTAAAGTCCATGAAGTGACATTTGGTTAGAGAGGGAGTTAAGTAATAGTAATGCCCCAGATTCACATGGAGATGTTCATAGGGTTGCTTTCCGTCTGTAGATGTGAGTATTTTCTTGCATGAGAGCCATGTTGGATAAACGGCTGGATTTCTACTATGTATTATTTAACTACTCTCTTCCTTAGCTGGAGTCACATTCATGAATGCATGAGGACATGCCTATTTGATGACCACAATGCATGGAGGGCGACCAGTGCTACAGCACCGGACTATTTGTGTGTGGTTGAATCATTCATTACATAGACACACAGGCGTAAACACACACACACACAGGCAGGCACAAACACACACGAGCACCACACACAAACACACACACACACACACACATACACACACACACACACACTCCAATCCAAGGCAATCCAATACATATCCAAATGTACTAGACACGGTTTGACATACACTCTCTCTCTGACAGAAAGGACACTCAGAAATACTGACACACAAAACCACTTGCACACACACACACATACACTAATATACCCTCACACATGCACGCACACACACACGCAGACACACACACACCTCTCATACCACTCATGCCACTGAAAGTAAACTAACCAGTGAAAACCTACATCCTTATTCACCCTGAAGATGAAAGCGACATGAGACCAGAGAGGAGCACCAACACTGAGAATATATCCATGGCACCTAAGTCATAACTTTACAACCTCCACTTTACAACGTGTGGACGCGAGGAGATAGATATTGCCTCAAGTATACAGCAGGCCTATATTACCATATCTACATCTCCACTTGGAGGTAAACACACATAACAAAAGCCAGTCACTCAGATGCTGAAGGAAATGGGGCTATTAGTGGAAGCAGTTCAAATGGGGAGAATCTGCCACTCTCAACTCTAAATAGAGAAATATAGATGTGTCTTGGATGCTGTAGTAGTAATCCAACTTTGACAAATAACTATAACTGATTAATACTTTGTGGGCAAGAAAACAACTTGAGGCTGTTATAATGCATTATAACACTTGTCATAAGCAAATTATTATGAAAATCTGTGTATACTGTGAGTTGAAACATGCAGGCCTTACCTCAGCGACAGGCACTCCCTCTGGTGGACGGCAGTGCAGCACAATCATGCCTTTAATGGGCACCTCCTTCCCCTGGGGGTCCTGCTCAAAGTTCTTCCTCAGGTCTGGGAGAGGGGAGGGAGAAAGGGAGACAGGATTCAATACATCAGAGTTTCTGGGATTAGATCAAACAGCACTCTCTTTTAGGCAAAATGATTCATTTTATGTTTCTTTGACTCCAAATATATCTATTTCCGCCTGCTTTCTTCCTCTCTCTTTCTCCCTCAATCAATCACTCACTCCCCCCCCCCCCCCCCCCCCTCTCTCTCTCTCTGTCTTTCTCATCTACTCATCTTCCCTGACTCACTACCCCTCCCCCATCTCTCTCTCTCTCTCTCTCTCGCCCTCTCTCTCTGCTGGTATGGTTCTGCTACTCACAGGCGATGCGTACGGTGGCCTTGCGGCTCTTGGAGGTGCCCAGGTGGCTCCAGGCCACACACAGACACCAGTAGTCCTCTGGGCCGTGGAAATCCTCCACCTGCTGACGAGACACGTTGATCATCACCTCCCGGATCTTCAGCCCTGCAGGGACACACAGATTATAATCCCAGATTATCATCACAGATGATCATCACAGATTACATCATTCATATTATAATCCATATTATTGCTCAGATTATCAGAAATGTATAGCTAAAATGATCAAAACAGAGTATCACACAATGTAATCATGAGACTTGGTGAGATGGTAAAGACGGGTGATTAAATATCCAGGCGATAAGAGATTATCAGTCCCAAACAGATGAAGAGGTCTGCAGAGAGAGAGGAGTGTCTGTCAGATTACTCAGATTACTGTTTGATTTCCACCCACACACTGTCATCAGATCAACATCTGAAGCCTGACAAATCTATTTAAAGAACTTCATTATCATAATTTTGACTATCAATCAGATAATCTACTTCAGTGCGGCAACTGGAGGACAAATGATGCAGGATGATGCCATTGAGATAGGGATCGTTATTGATCCTCTTATGCTCACTCAGTTCTGCTAATGCCTTAATCCATTTATACAAATTATCAACCCAAAGTGAGACTAAATGGTTTCCAACGGAGACTGTACACTGAGTATACCAAACATTAGGAACACCTACCTAATATTGAGTTGCACCCCCCCTTTTGCCCTCAGAACAGCCTCAATTCGTCGGGGCATGGACTCTACAAGGTGTCGAAAGTGTTCCACAGGGATGCTGGCCCATGTTGACTCCAATGCATCCCACAGTTGTGTCGAGTTGGCTGGATGTCCTTTGGGTGGTGGACAATTCTTGATACACATGGGAAACTGTTGAGCGTGAAAAAAACCAGCAGCATTGCAGTTCGATACAAATCTGTGCGCCTGGCACCTACTACCATACCCCATTCAAAGGCACTTAAATATTTTGTCTTGCCCATTCACCCTCTGAATGGCACACACAATCCATGTCTCAATTGTCTCAAGGCTTAAAAATCATTTTTTAACCGGTCTCCTCCCCTTCATCTACACTGATTGAAGTGGATTTAACAAGTGACATCAATAAGGGATCATAGCTTTCACCTGGATTCACCTTGTCAGTCTATGTCATGGAAAGAGCAGGTGTTCTTAATGTTTTGTACACTAAGCAGGGGCGGCCTGTTCAATAGGGCGATATGGGCGACGCACTGCCAAACGGGAAAAGGAAGGGATTTTTTTTCTAATCAATTATATCACGGCAACAGTAGTTATCAGTGTTGTAATCTATACGTCTGATCTGCCACAGTGCCACACTGCCACTAAATGTCCAATCAGGCGAAAGTCGTGCTTCAAATGGCTCCCCCCCCTTTTGGGGCGATTTCAGTCAGGTTGAAAATCGCCCAGAAGTCTGTCATAGACTCCCATGTAAAATCTATTTTTTTCAAATTTCAGAGCTTTCAATACAATCTCTATGGGTGTCTGAGGGCTTGCACTTACGCGCTTTCGTCATACGTAACGTAACCATGAACGTAACTAAGAAAAGAGCGGATTGTGTCTTTGAAAGAAGTTCCTTTTTGTCGGCGAACAAATGAAGATAAATTGGCAACGAAACAATTAGGACCTCCCAGACCAAATTTAATAATTCAACAGGTTTCTACTAAAGGCGGAAAGTCCTACACCCGAGGATTTTCCAAAAATTGGTACGAACGAAAAAAGACATTGCCACTCAACTGGATGAGGGATACAGGCTAGCTGTCCGCCGCCACAACGATGAGGTTAGTGTTGATAATCACAAGTTTACTGGAGAACTGAGACCAAGTAGAGACTTTGGACAGGGTGGATATGGTATAATAAAGGCAGTTTATTCAGAGGTAAAGATATATGGAATCGCGTGCACGGACCCGTTCGTCAAACTCTTACATTAAGCCCCATTACTTACCATATCAGATAAGAGAAATTGCTGCAGCTACATATATTTTACATCCTGGCCCTACATAGTTCACTATTTGCATCACTTACCAAAATATTACATGTGGTCATATATGCTTGGAAAGTGGAGATGCCATAGAACGTCAAAAAAGTAAACATTGCTGGAGACACATTGCCGTTTTGGAGAAGACATCGCGTTTGCTAGCGAAGAGATTTGTTGTGGCAAATGAACTTGGGCTGGGAATTGCCAGGGACCTCACGATAAGATATATGCATTGCGAGTCTCATGATTCTATACGTATTGCGATTCGATACTGTGATTTTATTGCGCACCATATGTCTGTTGCAGAGGGATCAGAAAGCCATGAGAACGAGTTTTGATCAGTCATGGAAATAAAAGTGCTGAAAACAAATTGTCTCCCAATGTGAAAAGATTGAGAACAAGCTATGAAGGAACAATAATGGTGTTTTGGTGCAGGTACAGCCAACTAGCGCTAAAATATTGCGATATTGTCAATACAGTATATCGTAAAGTATCACTATGTAACTCGATTTCTTTCACCCCAATCCCTCAAATTAACGGTAAATAACTGAATTGTTTGCCCCACATTTAGCTAAGATGATTAGCTAGCCAGCTAAAATGTTTTATTTAGTTAGCAGTCGCATTTACAATAGTTTACTGTCAATAACATGTCTCCAAAAATGACGTGGTGTCTCCAATTGTGTTGACATTTTACAATTGCGATGCGCATCCATGAGTATCCACTTTCTGTAGCTCAGCTGGTAGAGCACTGCGCTTGTAACGCCAAGGTAGTGGGTTCGATCCCCGGGACCACCCATACACAAAAATGTATGCACGCATGACTGTAAGTCGCTTTGGATAAAAGCGTCTGCTAAATGGCATATTATTATTATTATTATTATTATTATTATTATTATCTGAAGAGAGCCCCGAAACATTGTGTGCAGACATTTTATGCAATAAATGAAGTAGGTTGAATCTAGTAGTTCTGATCTTCTGATTGGTCCTGATGAGTTGGGCGAGGTCCCCTCCAGGCTACTGTCACTGTTGCATTGGCTCTGAGTCGGGTTCTCTGTCTTCAAATGTTCAGCCTAAGAGAGGGGATTTTTGTGTGTGTGTGTGTGTGTGTGTGTGTTTAACAGTGATGATGTGTGTGTGTGTGTGTGTGTGTGTGTGTGTGTTTAACAGTGATGATGTGTGTGTGTGTGTGTTTGTGTGTGTGTGTGTGTGTGTCCTCAGAGCAAGAACTCGTGAGTTGGAAGAACTGAGAGGCCTATGGCGTGGGTGTTGTCCTTGGCCACCTGCTGACAAGGCTGACAAGATAGGACCCTTTTGTCCATTGTTATTGGATAGGAACATAACTTATAACCAGCTCCTGACCTAAATAGATCTTAGCACAACATTTTACTCAACATATCATATTCCATATTCACTATAACAAATATATTTACTACGACATTAGCAAGAACCGCCACATCCTCAGCCGGCTAATCCAGTGTGTGAAGTTTTGCGGAGTGTTTGAGTTAGCTTTGCGAGGCAAAGATGAAACTGAGGGCTCCACCAACCCTGGTAAGCCAACACTTTTGAGATCAGTCAATAAATGCTTCTGGTATTGACTTATATGCTGCCCCTGTCTTCATGTTGTTGCTGGACATATCTTTTTTAAAATGTGTGTAGGTCACCTAAATCATCAGAAAAATTGCCCCCCCTGAGAATTTTTTCAGGAGCCGCCACTGACACTAAGTATATATTGGAAGTCTGCCATCTGCATTGCATCATTGCATTATTAATATGGATATGGTATAGAGACCCCCCAACATAACCCTCATTCTTTTGGAACTATGTTATTCTCCCTTTTCCACAAAAAGGTGTGTTGTAATTTGTCATTTGAAAAGACTCAATCTTAGCTTGAGGTATTAAGGTACACACACCACCTTGTTTTTATATCTGTGTGTGTGTATGATTCACTCTAAACCTCAAAAATGTCTCAATGCATTTCTCAAGTTGTGATTCAAACCATAATCATGAACAGTAGGGATATGGTTGGTAATGAATTGATTAATTTTTTGTACTGAATTCAACTAATAGGAACATAAAATACTTACTGTCCAACAGCAACAGACTGTAGGCCTACACAAAACTATGTGAGACTGTATAAGACCATTAATGCGTAATAAGGAAGCTCTGCTGGTTATCTTAGAAAGCCCAGTCTTCAAAGCTATTTCAGGGCAGCTCTCCAAAAGGGAAAGCAGCTCCGTCTATAATATCTTTCTTCTCCCTGCCTGGTATATAAGCCCAATTTCACAGACGGTTCCAAACCGCCCCATCGTGGGGTATGAACAGTAAATTATGCAGAAGTTCTGGTGGTGGTGTGTTCTCTCCTCAGTGTGTGTGTGTGTGTGTGTGTGTGTGTGTGTGTGTGTGTGTGTGTGTGTGTGTGTGTGTGTGTGTGTGTGTTCTCGGCTCAAAGAGTCCTCTCAGCGGGCCGCTCCCAGCATGCATTGCACAGCAGACAGACAGGACCACAATGTGGATCAAGACAAAATGGAAACCAATAATGTGATGTGATTTGAAGGCTGTCTGTCTGAAACCAGACTGGGCTGCAATCCTGCAGATTTATTTTTCTGACACTGATTTCTACCTGTTAAACCAGGTGTGTCCACAATACAGCCGTTCAGAAGCACCAGGAAGAGACAAAAAACAACAGGACTGTGGAACTTAAGGGCCTGAGTTGTAAACTGCTGTCATAAGTTAAGTGGAATAGCCTAGGGGCGCATCACCAGAAACATTACTGTTTTAAAGTACTTTTTCAACATTCAAATGGTAGATCCATTTCTTATAGAGACTTTTTAAGTGCACTTGGCATCAGCTAGTCTTGTTACACTCGTACAAGGTGAGAGATTTCAGTTTGAGCCCCCTCTTGGGTCCATACCAAGACCTGTGTCTTTTTGTCTAAAAACTTCATATGGATGCCAGTGATCATGTAATCTCTGGTTTAAGTGCTCGCTGACAAGCGACTTAGTTTATGGATTTTGATTACAGTTGAAATACAATAAGACCACTAAAGGGGGGATTTGGTTCAGCAATCTTTTAAATCATAATGACTCCTTCTCCATTGGGGGAAGTGCTTAATCGCTAATCACTATGAAGACCACAATGTAAGATGTTTTAGAACTGCAT